GGGGGGGGGGAGTATTATGGTTTTTGTTTGCTTTTTTGTCAAAGGGCACATGTGCATGCCAGAGAAAGATAGAAGAGACAGAGAGAAGAAAGAAAACATCCCCTCATTGGGGTCTGATCATGCTGCAATCCCTTTCCCCTCTTTCTCCATCTTGTTGGGATTATGGGCACACACACATATGTGCCCTGAGGGCTTTTCAAGCTGCCAGGGGCTAAGATTCAAACCTTAGTCAACTGTACAGGATCTAGCTCCCTTAATCAATCACTAAGCAATGGGGTTGGTCTAGTCCTTACATTTTTATGTATGTTGGTTTTATCTCATCAATTAAAATAAGTTTTTTGAGAGGAGGACTGTGAATTGCAAGTTTCTGTATCCCCCAAAATTTCTTACACATGGGATTATTTGTAAACTATCGGGTTGTTGGAAAAGTCATGATGCGTTTTTGCATAGAAAAACACAGAAAAATATGCACGACTTTTCTGACAACTGAATAACTTATTTTCCGGTGATTTTCCTCTGAATACAAGGGCAAGCAACTGTTTGCTTGCTGTAAAATGATCAAACAGATTTGTACCTTTCCATTTTATCTGTGTAAGGTAAAATTTCTGGGAGCTAAGAAGTATGAATATGATCATCCACAATAGAAAGTATTCAGTTTTCACCGACAACAGACTTGACACTCACAAGAAAGAATACAATGCAGGACCAGCAGTTAGAGTAATGGCTATGTCGCTGGACTCCCATGTAGTCGACCGCGGTCCGTGTCCTGGACCCAGTGGCTTAAAACTCACGCTGGGCACATGTGCATGCGTGCCCAAGATCCCAAGAGGAGAATGGAGAAGGGATTGTGGCGTAGCTGTCCCCCCTGGGGGGTGATTTCTCACTTTCTGTCTCTCTGTCTCTCTCTGTCTTTCTGGCGAGCGCACGCGCCCTATAGCAACAAACAAACAAACAAACAAAACAAAACAAACAAACAAACAAAAAACTCAAAAAAAAAAAAAAAAAAG